CTCTTTCTTTCTCTTTCTCTCTCTCTTTCTCTCTCTCTTTCTCCCTTTTTTTGGCAAAATTGCATCACTTTTCGGACTTTGTCTTTTTATTTTCTCTCAGTCTTTTTCAAAATCTTTTCAAATTTTCGCTCCCTCTTTTTTGTTTTATAATAAATAGACGAAAGTAATGGATTGAAACAATCAAGCACATAGTCTTTTCAATAACAACAACATCAAAAAATGAACAATAAAAAGGGAGAAAAGGGGAGAGTGAGAGAGAGAGGAAGAGAGAAAAAAAAGAGGGAGAGAAGAAAAAAACAATACTTACTCTGAAATTACCCTCTACTTCCTCTTTACCTCTCCTTCTTCAATGCCTTATTTCACGTTTTCATTCCAATTTCTTTTCTATCTTTCATTCTTTTGGCATATTATCTTTTTATCATTGTTTACCTTCCGTTTAATTAAAATCATTTATTTGCAATTAAATTCATCTTTTACTTCATCATAGAATTACACGTATTAGTTCACTTGTTATAAATTCCGAATGTGAATCATTTTAATTAAGTTTATCGAAATCATTAGCATATTAGTCATTATTAGTTTAAAACTTCAACTTCAATCACAATTCAGCTAGTCGTTATTGGTCATTTTTATTGATAAGGATTGAATATCTCTGAATGATATCAGTTAATTGTTCGGTGATAGGTTACAATAAATGTTATTACGATTCTTATGATTTAATACTGAAAATATCGAGCAATAATTCTTTTTTTACAAAGAAAAAACAGAAGAAAAAAAACAAAAGTCAGGGAGAGGTTTTTTTTTTCTTTTTCCTTTTTCTCTCTCTCTTTCCTTTTGTCTCTATCAAAAGTGAAAACTAAAACGATAACTAAAAGGGATGTGAAAGAAATGGAATGATAATGGAGAAATATTCTCAGAGAGACTTTGATGTCGGTATCATCGTTTGCTTTCTCTTCTCTCTATTAATCTATTAGCATGAAAGTATAGGTATTTAATTGATTTACATTTTTATTAGTTCATTATTTGATTTTCCTCATTATGTATATATTCCCTGTTAAGTTATACAAAATAATTTTTTTAAAATCTAATTTACTCGTATTTCATTTGTCATAATTATCATTTTGATGATAATTACAATGACTCATAATGGAGAATAAAAAGATCATATTATTTGATTTATAATCACTTATATAACATATATCTTCATTATTATCCAACTAGTACATTTTATTCTTTATCAATTTTGCTTTTTTTTCATCAATTTTGCTAATGCTGTTCACTGATGGTTATTGCCATTATCCTTATCATTATCATAATCATCATTATCATTATCGGTATTATTCCATATCATTCCACTAAAAACATCTTTTCTTGTGAATTAGCATGATAGCAATAATAACATTGGTAATAACACTTTATAACAGTGATAACAGTGATAATAACACTTTATAATGGTGATAACAAGCGGCAACAATAGCAATAATAAAATGGTGATAATTAGGGATAAGAAACGATTTTCTGAATTGTCATTTAAATGTTTTTGCGCTAAGTTTTGCTGAATATGCGTGTTCGCTTTTTCAATCGTTCTTTCATCCCTCTCACTCTCTCTTCCTCTTTCTCGTTCTCTCTTTCTCTTTCTCTGTATACAGATTGTTTAATTTGATGATTATTTCAGGAAAAATTGGTAATTTGCTCAAGCGAAGATACAGGTCCTCTCCTTCATCAAACAGCAATACATTCCTGTTACCGTTATAGTATTTAATTGGAATTAATTAACGAAAAAAGGGGACCGACAAAGAACGGGCTTATCACGCTGGAGCTCTGTCCACCATCACCGCAAAAAGCTGCCAATATTGGCAGTGCCCTGGAATTAATGGATTTAATTGGTCCAGCAGTTCTGGGCAATAACGATAGCAGTAACGATAACAATACTAACAACAGTAACAGTAACAGTAACAGTAACAGCAACAGTAATAGTAACAGTAATAGTAGTATTACTATTAACAATATTAATGTATCCGATATCCAGAATTCGGAAGATAACAAAAGTACCGGATCATTAAAATCGGAACCAATGCCATTAATTGATGAATTAGCAACAGTATCACCGTCTTCATCAACCGTTGAACAAAGCAGTAGCACACCTGAATCGAGGATTCGAATTACTACAAGTCCCGGTGATAATAATAGCAGATCGATCACTGATCCGTCACCAACAATGATGGAAAAAGCTGAACGGCCAAGTTTAAGCTATAAAGATCTCATCATTGAGGCCATTGAAAGTAGTCCGGAAAAACGGTTAAAATTAAATGAAATTTATCAAGTACGTCATTTTTTTTCTCTGTTATTTAAATAAAAAAAGAAAAAAAGAATTTTTTTTTGTAAAAAAAGTAAAAGGAAACATTTCTTTTTGTAATTTTCTCAGAAAAAAAAAAGGCTGAATGTTTTCCATGAATTTTTCTGAGCAAAACAAAAAATAAGAATTAGAAGAAAAGGAAAGGAAAAAAAAACATTGCAGAAAAATGTTTTAAAAATAAAACAAAATACTTTTCAATCTTTCTTTCTTTTTAGTAGCGTTTTATCTATTTTTCTTCCAAACTATTAGTAACATTTAGGAAATTAGAAATTTAT